TGTTCGATAACCATGACTCCCACTTATCAATTGGAGCGTTGGATTACTTTAAATCTAATGGGGTGACAGTTTTATCATTCCCTCCACATTGTAGCCACAAGCTAGAACCTCTTGACAGATCTGTGTACGGACCATTGAAAAAGTATTTCAACCGAGCATGTGACAACTGGCTGGCTAGTAACCCGGGAAAGACTATCACAATTTATGAAATACCAGAGCTGGTTAAAACGCCACTACTATTGGCTGCTACAATTGAAAATATTCAATCAGGATTCGGAGTATCCGAGATTTCACCATTGATTGAAAACATTTTTCCTAACTCCAAGTTTAGTGGTTCTTATGTGACAGATAGGCCGATGCTCCCCTGATGGTGATAATCCTTCAGCATGTGATTTGAGCACAGTGTCTGTTCCATCGACTTCCAATGCATCTAACACGTTGTCTATCGTCCAAGAGGTTCCAATTGCTCTGACACCGCAATATTTATCTGTAAATACAGACCAGATTACTACCACAACACCCTCTCCTAAAAGATCTTTGAGGACTGAATGTGACTCACCTTCTGTATTTGAAGAAACATTCAATTCTGTATTTGAACCGGAACTGAGAGAAAAACTCAAAGCTCCAGAAAACGTTCATTATACAGAAGCAAATGTGCCCCCATCTTTACACAATCTAAACCTTTCCACAACTTCATCAGCAACATTTGAAGAGCTAAGACCCTTTCCAAAGCGGCGCCACTTTTAGAAAATAGAAGAAATATTCGGAAACGTAAAAGTACTATATATACCGACACCCAGGAAAAACTAAATCTTTTAGATATGAAAAACGAAAGAGAAACATATAAGAAGAAAAAAACAGATACAAAAGACAGAATAGGAAAAGGGAAAGGCAAAGGAAAACGAAAGGGTAAAGGAACGGATAAAGCTGATGAGATTGCTGATGACACCGCCGCTGAAAATGACGGTAGTGCCGTAGATTCAGATGACGAGAGTACGATTTGTTTAGAGTGCACTGAATCCTACGTCGATAGTGTTCCAGGCGAACAATGGATTCAGTGCTTAACATAAGTTATGGGCTCATACCAAATGTGTAAGAGGTGATCTATAATGTTTTTTGAATGCTTCTGATATTGAAGACTTATATTTTATATTATAAGGAACTCTTTAATTAATGAAACTAATAAATGTTTAAATAAAAACTAGGAGTTGATAGTTTTGTTAAAGACTTACTGTAAGATAATGTCTGTAACTGATTAAAATTGTTTTTGAATAAAAAGTTTTGTTAAATTACAAAATGTTTCATAACTTGACTCTTCTCATAATTTGTCACTTATTGATACGTAAGTCTACTTACCCCGGGCATATAGTCCATCTACCCTGGAGCCGGGGTAAATTGACTAAGAATCGGAGTTCTGTAAAATGCGTTAAATTATGATCATACTGAATAATGGACTAGTTTTTATATTTTTTTTATAAGTTCAATAGTTCTTCTACCCACTGTGTGTATGAAAGCATAAAAAATATGTATGATGTTGTAAAAAACTAGTCAACCATCCCCGGTCTCCTCTACGATGGTCGATACCAAGAAACCAGCGTCAGCTTTATCAAGTGGATGGGAGTATGTACTAAGGGTATATGTATTTTGTGATACTTGCTTGCAGCAAGCTTATAGGGTCTAACTTAGGCCAAACCATATCCTTTATGAACTATGTAACAAAAAAAAAACCATGTCTATGGCCACCGCTCATTTGACAACGCTGGGATCTAGGAATTTATCTCCTGTCCTACCAAAAGTACCGACCATCTGGCAATGTTTCTCCTACTAACCTCGCCTCGCCGTTATATGACGTGTGAAATATGTCTAATAGGTTCAGGGTTGGAAGCGTATAAGTATAGCAACGCCAAAAAATTGAGTAATACTCTTCCCCACCCAGTACAACCCTTAATTCGCAACTTTCAACCTCTACAAGAATATTTCAGAAAATTATTAAAAGCCCCTGAAACGCGAAATTAGAACCAACTGTCGAAGGCTCGCCAATTACTGACGTGGGAAGTAAAACATTTTGGAAATAATAATAAGGCGGCAGCGTATTGGAGATGTTATGGGTCTCCCAATCAGTCGCCGCGCTCTGCACGAGTTTGAATCCCGTCTCAAGAGAATTTTTCTACTGGACTATGGATGTTGTGATTGTCCGTAGGTCGTAGAAGGTTTCTGGCTGTCGAACGCGGAGTTACCACCCGGCTGGTCTCGTAGGCGGGGCCAGAATGTGTCCATAATGCATGCACACGTGTTCCTTCGCCAAAGTCCGTATGGCGCCCCCCGCCCCCTTCACCTGTGTCCCCCGCGGTAGCCATAGGTGGTGGCTCAAGTATAACAAATAATAATAATAAATTGTCTTTATTTAGAGGGCGAAGTTCAGCATAATGGTTCTCTACCAATGAACCCAATTAAAAACTGAAAGGAGGTTCACTCTGCACTTTCCATGCAAACGTCATCATCAGTTCAAGAATGATTATGCTCAGCACAAGCTAGGTCAGTCGAAGAGGTCCATACTCTTAGTCCATAGACATTCTTTTGCTGCCCTAGCTGTAGTCCATCTGGCAACGTCGCATCTCCCCCATACCTAACCGGCACGGATATTATGTTAAAACCCTATAAAACGCCAAAAAAAGCAATGAAACGTCATCTTGCAGGCTAGGTAGTTTTTAGGGTGCAAACAGTTCATTCCACGTTTGCTCGCTATGATCACTGTGAGCGTCCATCTATGGAGGAATGACTCAACTACATGCATTGTTGGTTGCAGAAAGCAAGTATATATTTGTGAAGCCGACTAGTTTGTAGTGTTTATCTCTGAGATGTAAAAGAGAGAAAGTTGGTTAAATAGCAAGATCGCATCTGAATGTTTATGTTGTATTGTCTGCATGTGAATAAAATCAGTGATATTTGCTGTGTGAAAAAATTATTACTAAATAACTGCCAATGAAGTATATCTGTTAGCTGTACCCGATGGGTTATTTATATGTTGGCCTTTCTGAAGTTATAGTTATAAATTACGATTTTTCCCGTCAAAAAAATTTAGATGTCACTTTTCAAGATACGTAATACCCGTGACGGTTACCACTTAGATGCGGCAGTAATACCAGAACACGCAAACGATAGGTACGCTATCGGTCTGCTGAAAATGCTGTTCTAACGGCAAATGTATGGAAAATAGATTATGGTGTAAAATAGGTCCAATAGTAGAATACCAAGGTTGGGAGCGTATAAATTACCTACATAAAAAGATTTAGATAAACCTCTCCCCTAAAACTCCTCCCTCAACATGATCAGAAACGTCAAAAAACCATGTTTGAGCAATTTTTGTTCTTTTAGTTTTTGGCAATTTTCTCATCCGCTACTGGATCGATTTTCAAAAGCGACAAACCTTTTGCATCCTTAGTATAGTAGTAAAAAATTGTGTAAAATCACCGAAATCCGAGCGGTACCACTCAAGTTATAGGCGGCTATAAGATTAACGGACAGATAGACGGAAATGAGTGAGATAGTTTTTCGTGTCATATAACATTTATGTATATATATATATATATAATAATATGTCACTTTCGAAAATCTTTGCTATTTCTCCCTGCAGACGTTCGTCAGAAAATTTCTGACAAAAGAGCTGCAATTAAGCAAGCGAAGAGGTCTTGTCACCCAGATGATGACATTCAGAGAGCAACGAATCTTGTTCATGAAGTGAGAAATCCTCTTCATGAATTCCGTAATGAGCAATGGAGCGACTTTCTGTCGGGGATGCTTGACTCAAGTATTCCTCTCTGGAAAGTTGCAGAGTCGTTCAGAAACGGAAAGCGAGAACAACTCCCGTACATCCACGGTCCTAGGGGCATAGTCTGTAGGACAGAGGAAAAGGTCGAGGTTTTCGCTGATGCAATGGAAAGTCAGTTCTCTCCCAACTATGACCTTGATAATGACCTCGACGAGGAACAACATATTGTAAGATCCGTCAGGAGATATTTTAGGGCCAACGGCGTCAGTGGCAGTAGTGCCTCCCTTAGTGATTTTTCCTCAGAGGGATCTTCAGAAGATTCCTCAACTGAAGAGCTGCACGGCACATCAGCGGAATCTCCTGAGACTCAGCATTGCACACCAGCACAGGTCCAAGGTCATATTAAAGACCTCAAGATGCGTAAAGCAGCTGGAGAGGATCGAATCACTAATAAGGCGCTGAAGCTACTTTCGCGGAAGTCCTTAACTTATCTCGTGACAATAATCAATGCCATGCTAAGGACCCAGCACTTCCCAACGGCGTGGAAGACCGCTGATATAATGATTCCAAAGAAGGTGGATTCGTTATTCCCCCAGGATTACCGCCCCATTAGTCTACTGTCAGCTCCTTCTAAGCTCGCTGAAAAGCTGATTCTACGTCACCTTGAAAATTGCTCGGCAGACCAATGTGATTCCTGACGTGCAATTTGGATTTCGGTCTAAGCATAGTACGGAGCTACAGGCCATAAGACTTGTTGAACGAATAACCAGGGGGTTCACCCGTAACGAAAGTAATGGCATCTTGCTTCTGGATGTCTCAAAGGCATTTGACAAGGTGTGGCACAAGGGCCTTCTCTACAAATTGATCCATAAGGGCTACCCCTTCTGGCTCCTAAAACATTTGAAATCCTTCCTCGAGGGTAAGAAATTTCCGATCAAAGCCGGTGTCCCTCAGGGTTCGGTTCTTGGACCAGTCCTTTATTCACTTTTTATTCATGACGTCACTTGCCCCAGCAGCAGTGAAACCTATCTCTATGCTGATGATACTGCCCTGGTGGCCCAGTCGTACTCTGGGGATCTAGTTCATGACAGGCTACAAAGTGCAGTGAACGAGGTATTGAAATGCGCGAATCGGTGGCTGATCAAAATTAATCATTCGAAAACGCAGGCATTCTATTGTACTAAAAAACGTAGCGGCGCCCCGTCTGAGGTTTCAATGAATGGAGCTCGAGTACCATGGGAAAGCTCTGCTAAATATCTCGGTGCCACTCTTGACAAGGGGCAGAAGTACACTGAAGCGTTAAAAACTAAATTCCAAATCTCGTTTCGGCAACTCTACCCTATGCTATGTAGAACATCAAAATTAAGTTTGATCAACAAAGTGCGGCTATACAAGATGGTTATTAGACCAGCGATCACTTACGCAAGTGCGCCTTGGTGTTTTCTCGCCAAAACGCATTTGCGTAGCCTGCAGGTTTTGCAGAACAGAACCTTGCGTACAATCACCAGCGCCCCATGGTATGTTACCAACGAGACCCTTCACAGAGACCTTGACATCCGTTACCCAAGGGACTACATCAAACAACAAGCGCAGCTACGTTATAGTCAAGCGGAATCGCATAGCAACACTTTCTTGCGCGAGTCAGTGGACTACACAGTCGAGCAAGTTCGCAAGCACACAAGGCTGTGACTCGCACTGTGAACAAAATTAAATCGTGCGACTTTAGGTCCAACCAAAATTATATTTTTTCTTCAACAACCAATCCCAAATTAATTTTAGGATCAATTTAAAATTGCCGAATACTAACTAGCAATGCCAAGGCACCCCTCAATTTTCTTCCCCACCAGTAAGCGTGGGAAGTAAAATCGGGCTTGTTCCACTACTCTACTTGTCAGACTACTTTCTTCGTGTTTGAGACTGAATGAAAGAAATTTCCCTTAGACACGTCACTGATTAAAAAGGTCGCTCAGGCGTTGTCGGTAAGAAGTAAAGAACACCGTTTTCCTTTCATTCCCGCCAGCGCTCAAGCTCAACAGCAAGCACAGTTTTGTTTACAGTCTCAGCGCATTTAGATAGATTAATCTTGAGACAAACTTGTCTAATTATTTTCCACTGTTAAATCATAAAACCTCTTACGCCCAATTATGGAATTACGTGCAGTGAATGTTCCTGATTTTCCGAATTAAGCCTTTAACTTGGAATTAATGGGCCTCGTTCAGGGGCCCGTTGCCTGGTTGGCTGCTTCGGAATATTTTCGTTTGTTTAATGAATCTGGCCCAATTAAAATGAGTTCAGGAAGTATATGCCTTGTAATAGGTCATGCAAATATTTATAAAATGCACAGGTAGGTAAGGTCTGATATTGGAGTACCACAAATGGTTTAAACAAATTGATAGGGATTGTTTCATACGAGTGATGTCAGTCAGTAGAATTTTGACAAGATAAATGCTGTCATGGTGTATCTAATATGGCGGATGCTACAAAATGGCAGTTTATCATTTCGATAGTATCTATAATATGGGTATTAAATGAAATGGATAGATGCGTGAAGCACAATAAGTAAAGTGGCGTCATTCTGAATCCAATATGGCGGCGGCCGTAAATTGGATTTTTGCGGTAACCTCTTTAATGCAGGTATGAAATGAAGGGGGTAGCGCAGGTTTCCATACTTGG